TTCTTCTGGCGCAAAAGACTCCATGTCTGCGCCTTGTCCTTGCAGTGCGAAACGGAATTGAGACAGAAATGGGAGGGGTGGGCTGCCTGGACAGCTATACCGCGGACTTTGTCGAGAAAAAAAAAGGTTCTTGGGAGGGTTCCGCAAAAGTGATATTCGAAGGGTTCCTCGAAGCTGTGGCGCAAACACAACAAGTATCAAAACGGTTCCGCAGAACCGCTAGTCGCAGTTCCGAATCAGTTCCTGGAATCACGTGCAGTTTTTGCCTAACTCCCAACAAACTTTTTCAAAGTTTTGCGGTGCCGGAAATCCAGACCCATGCCCCTTGCCGAAACCTTCTGAGAATTACTGGGCTGCCCACACAACAGCCGAAAACAGGGCCTACGCACAGTGACTACTTGCGGGCAGCAGCGTACGAGTTCGAGCAAAGTCATCTGCACACTCAGGAGGCCGAGGCAGGGCACGATGCAATTGCAGCGTGCGTGTCAAGGCATTTGGGCAGTTACTGGGCCTGGCTGAAGAAAAGTCACAACTTGCACGCATACCTGCGCCGGCACCACGGGCAGGACGGAGATGCGATGGGACTTTGCGGCGGGCCAGGCCTTCGAGGCGACCTAGTTGCAATCGCGCGGGTACACGGTGAGCAGCTGAAAGGCAGGCAGCTGCAGAACCCGCTTGAGTTGCGGGATGAATCATCCAATTATGCGAATTCCCTCTACCTGAAGCGGGCTATGTGCAGTTTGCATGTTTGGGCGGGACGAATGAAGAGGCTGGAAGTGGTTGTTCCATTTTCAAGCCCCGCAGCTCCCGCAGCGTCCTCGGCATGGGGGGTGCTTCCGCGACAACATGTTGCTTCCGCGGCCAAGCGCACGTAGCGCGACATTGCCCTGGAGAGGGTTGGCTGAAACGAAGCCGCCGCATGCGAAGCATTTCGCTGATGCGTCCCACGTTGCGCGCCGCCGGTGCGTTGCAGACACGCCCAATGCTGCATTTTATGCTGCAAAATGCATCGCGGTAGACTGCGTCAGTTAACCAAGTTTAGTGTTTTCTGTTACAGAAACAAGCTGGGCGACTACAGGTAGCCTGCCTCTCCCCGCAACCCGCTCACGCGATATACCCAAGCTCAGCACATTTCAACATGTTGTCGCTGCTTGCTAACAGGTCACACACCGGTACTGCGACGCCCTGGTGAACCACTGCTGTTCTGGCTGGCAGCTCAAACAGCGGCGACTTGAGACAGGGGTGCAGCAGGGACTTTAGGTATTGGTCACCGACGACAAAGCCCAATCATCTGCGCTCGCAAAGTGTGACAAGCAAGTTTGCACGGCGAGCACGCTTCAGCGGGGCGGGAGCGGGAGCCATACGTAAGCAGCATCAGGGTAAGCAGCTTGTGCAAATGAACCGCCATTGCCAGGGAAGCAAACGTGATAACACGGCCTTTGACTCCCGCGTGCTGCAAAACGCCCTGATGTGACACACTGCAGCTGCTTGGGTCCTTCCTATCTCTGAATCTTGCGCGCTACACATCCTCTGCTACTTGACTCACAACGGGCCAACCCGACTGTCTCTGCAAACTTGGAAGTGCTTAAGGCGCTCTGCGCTCATAACGCACAAGCAACACACCAGCCAAGAAACATTTGTTCATTGGTTTGGCTCTGCCGTATGCTGACGTCGCCTGGTAGTCGCAAGGTCACAGGGCGCGCGCCAAGCAGAATGCCCTCCTGCGCATTTTCTCAAGCGCGTCAACCACCAGTCAGACTTTGCAGCAAGCATCGCATCTAACATGGCAAGTCAGCTCACTTAACCAAGCCGCAACAAGACTTGCCTGCTTGCTCCGAGGAAGGTGCCAGCTGCACTTTGCATAGCTCAGGCGCCGACAGCGACTTGGAACTCCGGTGCAGGGATCTCTTGATCTTTTGCTGGTCTAGGGAGACAAATCCGAAAACATGTAGCCTCTGCACATCTCTGCGCCCGCAGAGCGTGCCAAGCAAACTTCAGCTTGGTGATCAACGAGCGAGGATCGCCCAGAGGGAAAAACAGCAAGCACACAGAAGCTAATGTTGGATACTCCGAGGCGAAGAAAACACAGCCAGCGGCCTGCCAACCCTCTCTAGCAACAGGCTGTATGTGGCAGTCAAGCATGCTGGACACTCGCTGGACACTTGCGGGGCAACGCTCGAACTACCAAGCAATGGGCTCTTTGGACACTTTAGACTTTGGGACCCGGGCACAACACTAACAAGCTAAGTGAGCTGTCATCCGTCTGAGAAAGTGTGTGCGCCAGCAACCTTGAAACCTGGAGGGAGCGCGAGCCGTTTGTTGGAAACAACCGGCAAATGAGTTTAAAAGCTCATCAAGGTAAGCAGCTTGTCAAACAAATGATCGGGTATGGCCAGCGCGACACAAGTGATAACACGACCTCCGTCTTCCATGAGCTGCAAAGAAATCTGATCCGAGGTGCTCCTGCTGCTCCTGCTGCTGCTGTTGCTTGCTCGTTGATTGCGGTTTGACTTGTGTATGTCACAAATCCTCTGCTACTTGCGTCACAGCATGCAAACCATGCGTCACCACAGACTTGGACGTGCTCACAGCGATCTGCACTCATAACGCATCATGCCGAAGCATCGTGTCTAACAGGGCAAGCCAGCTCGCACAACAAAGAGGAAACAAAACTTGCGCGCTTGCACTGAAGACAGCGCCACCTGCACTTCACACAGCTCAGGCACTGACAGCAGTAGCGACTTGGAACTCCAGTGGCATGGTCTCTTGGGGATTTGCTAGTCTTGGGCGACAAAGCCAAACAACCTGTAGCCCGCAAAGCAGCAGAAAATAGCTTGGTGACCAACAAGCGAGGCTTGCCCAGAGGGAGAAACAGCCAGCACACAGCGGCTAATGTTGGATACTCCGAGGCGAAGAAAACACAGCCAGCGGCCTGCCAACCCTCTCTAGCACCAGGCTGTATGTGGCAGTCAAGCATGCTGGACACTCGCTGGGCACTTGCGGGGCAACACTCGAACTACTAAGCAATGGGCACTTTGGACACTAACAGTGTGGACCTACCAAATCCGATGTCAAAGCTGTCATCCGTTTGAGAAAGTCTGTGAGCAAGCAACCTTGAAACCTGGAGGGAGCGCAAGCCATAATATGTTAGAAGCAACAGGCAAATGGGTTTGAAAGCTCATCAAGGCAAACAGCTTGTCAAACCAATTATCGGGTATGGCCAGGGCGACACAAGTGATAACACGACCTGCGTCTTCCACGTGATGGGCAGATGCACTGCTGCTTGCTCGCTGCTTGTTTTCGTTTTCTGAATCTCGCATGCCACACATCTTCTGCTACTGTCATGGCAACATGCAATTCAAGCGTCACCGCAGACTTGGACGTGCTCACAGCGATCTGCACTCATAACGCATCATGCCGAAGCATCGCGTCTAACAGGGCAAGCCAGCTCGCACAACAAAGAGGAAACAAAACTTGCGCGCTTGCACTGAAGACAGCGCCATCTGCACTTCACACAGCTCAGGCACTGACAGCAGTAGCGACTTGGAACTCCAGTGGTATGGTCTCTTGGGGATTTGCTAGTCTTGGGCGACAAAGCCAAACAACCTGTAGCCCGCAAAGCAGCAGAAAATAGCTTGGTGACCAACAAGCGAGGCTTGCCCAGAGGGAGAAACAGCCAGCACACACCAGCTAATGTTGGATACTCCGAGGCGAAGAAAACACAGCCAGCGGCCTGCCAACCCTCTCTAGCAACAGGCTGTATGTGGCAGTCAAGCATGCTGGACACTCGCTGGGCACTTGCGGGGCAACACTCGAACTACTAAGCAATGGGCACTTTGGACACTAACAGTGTGGACCTACCAAATCCGGTGTCAAAGCTGTCATCCGTTTGAGAAAGTCTGTGAGCAAGCAACCTTGAAACCTGGAGGGAGCGCAAGCCATATGTTAGAAGCAACAGGCAAATGGGGTTGAAAGCTCATCAAGGCAAACAGCTTGTCAAACGGGTATGGCCAGGGCGACACAAGTGCAAACACGACCTGCGTCTTCCACGTGATGGACAGATGCACTGCTGCTTGCTCGCTGCTTGTTTTCGTTTTCTGAATCTCGCATGCCACACATCTTCTGCTACTGTCATGGCAACATGCAATTCAAGCGTCACCGCAGACTTGGACGTGCTCACAGCGATCTGCACTCATAACGCATCATGCCGAAGCATCGTGTCAAACAGGGCAAGCCAGCTCGCACAACAAAGAGGAAACAAAACTTGCGCGCTTGCACTGAAGACAGAGCCATCTGCACTTCACACAGCTCAGGCACTGACAGCAGTAGCGACTTGAAACTCCGGTGGTATGGTCTCTTGGGGAGTTGCTAGTCTTGGGCGACAAAGCCAAACAACCTGTAGCCCGCAAAGCAGCAGAAAATAGCTTGGTGACCAACAAGCGAGGCTTGCCCAGAGGGAGAAACAGCCAGCACACAGCGGCTATTGTTGGATACTCCGAGGCGAAGAAAACACAGCCAGCGGCCTGCCAACCCTCTCTAGCAACAGGCTGTATGTGGCAGTCAAGCATGCTGGACACTCGCTGGGCACTTGCGGGGCAACACTCGAACTACTAAGCAATGGGCACTTTGGACACTAACAGTGTGGACCTACCAAATCCGATGTCAAAGCTGTCATCCGTTTGAGAAAGTCTGTGAGCAAGCAACCTTGAAACCTGGAGGGAGCGCAAGCCATATGTTAGAAGCAACAGGCAAATGGGTTTGAAAGCTCATCAAGGCAAACAGCTTGTCAAACCAATTATCGGGTATGGCCAGGGCGACACAAGTGCAAACACGACCTGCGTCTTCCACGTGATGGGCAGATGCACTGCTGCTTGCTCGCTGCTTGTTTTCGTTTTCTGAATCTCGCATGCCACACATCTTCTGCTACTGTCATGGCAACATGCAATTCAAGCGTCACCGCAGACTTGGACGTGCTCACAGCGATCTGCACTCATAACGCATCATGCCGAAGCATCGTGTCTAACAGGGCAAGCCAGCTCGCACAACAAAGAGGAAACAAAACTTGCGCGCTTGCACTGAAGACAGCGCCACCTGCAGTTCACACAGCTCAGGCACTGACAGCAGTAGCGACTTGAAACTCCGGTGGTATGGTCTCTTGGGGATTTGCTGGTCTTAGGCGACAAAGCCAAACAACCTGTAGCCCGCAAAGCAGCATAATATTGCTTGGTGGCCAACAAGCGAGGCTTGCCCAAAGGGAAAAACAGCCAGCACACAGCGGCTAATGTTGGATACTCCGAGGCGAAGGAAACCCAGCCAGCGGCCTGCCAACCCTCTCCAGCAACAGGCTGCATGTAGCAGTCAAGCATGCTGTACGCTCGCTGGGCACTTGTGCGGCAGCACAGTGACGTTGCCGACAGCCTGCTCGCTCAGCCGGATTGACAACAGAAACTACTAGGATGGGCAGCCTGACTGCCAGTCAACAAAGTCCGAAATGCAAGCAGCTGATATCTGCCCCAGAAAGTCTATGCGCAAGCAACCCTGAAATCTGGCAGGAGCGCGAGCCATGCGCCGCAAGCAACAGGCAGCGGAACGCGAAAGCTCATCAAGGTAAACAGCATGTGCGAATGATCCAGGATCGCCAGGGCAACACAAATGAAAACACGACCTTCGGCTCCCACTGACACGCTGCAGCTGCTTGGTAGCTTCTTGTCTCTGAATCTTGTGTGCCATACATGTGCTTGCGGCGATCTGCACTTGTAGCTAGCGTACAAACACCATGCCAGCCCTGACACCTGTCCTCAATGCTTTGGGGCTCTCCATTGCTGACAAGGACAAGGCCAGGTAACCACAAGGTGCACGCGGAGCTCGCCAAGCAGCATACCTTTCAGCCCAGTTTGGGTGTTTTGACGACCAGTTAGACTTTGTCGCAATCGCGTCTAACATGGCAAGTCAGCTCACACAACAAAGAGGACACAAAACTTGCCTGCTCGCAGCGAGGAAGGCGCCAGCTGCACTTTGAATAGCTCAGGCACCAGCTGCGGCGACTCCAACGGGCGCAGGGGCCCACTTGGGGCTCTTTACCTCTCGCAAAAGCGCAGGCGTTGAACATTGACATTGCTTGACTTTCCCAAATGTGCTCGTGCAAGTTCATGCCCATGCGTTCTGCACACAGTGCAAACAGGTTGCGCAAGACTATGTTGATTTGCGGTGTGTGCAAATGCGGAGTCAGTTCTTTCTAGCAACCTGGGACGCTTGTCTCGCGACAAACCCACGACACACGTAGCTTTTGCGTGCGCCAAACATGGCAAGCCAACCTCAGCTTGGTGGCCAACAAGGGTGGCCTATAAGTGAGATACCTTCACCAGCTGCAATTGATTGATACCAAGCGCGGCGAAAAACCAAACACCACCCTTGGGCGTGCTAGATCTCTCCAGCAACAAGCCGAAGGTGGCAGTCAAGCCTGGACACCTGCTGGGCACTTATGGGGCGCTCGAAATTTCCAAGCAACACCAGCCGATCTACCGAGACTTCGAGCTGCCAATCTACCGAATCCGAGAGAAATAACGTGAAAGTGGTCATCTGCCGGTGTTTTAAAATATCTTAAACGTTCAAGCTGAAATTGCGAGACGTCTTCAGACGCTTGTACACGATCACCCTTCAAACCTAGCAAGAGCGTGAGACATGCGTTGGGAGGAACAGGCATGGGACATTGAAAGCACATCAGGGTAGACAGTTTGTACGCATGATCCGACATTGCCAAGGCGACGAAAGTGAAAACACGGCCTGCTCCAGTGCGCTGCAAAAACTGCTCTGACCCATGGATGCCACGAATCCTCCGCTTCCTGACTGACGACAGGCAGGCTCATGTGTTGGTGGCCTGCACGCAAGCCGCGCGAAAGGCACGCCAAGCAAACAACATGCTTTCACTGTGTTGGCGCAGTCGTATACTGATGGCAAGGCCGGGTAGGCACGCGGAGCAGCACATGGCTTGCACCCATCAGCATGCCTTTCTGCACGGCGAGGATGAGTTATCTTCTCTAGTAATTCCTGCGGCCAACATGGCTCAGGTCAAACAATACAGACAAAACAAAACTTGCACACTCGCACCAAGCAAGGAACCTGCACTTTGCTGCCATTGTACGGGACAACTCCTGTTCCGCCTGGCTCAAACAGTGACAGCGGTGACTTGTGACTCTGGTGAAGAAGCAAGTTTGAACCATCTGTTTCACCACAGGTTCAAAGATTGCGTTGCAACTCGGCATCCTTCATCACTTTGAAAGAATCTTGGGAGCTCAAGCAGGCCTTGATTGAGGTCCTGAGTCCTAACCCTTCCTGTGGAAATGCAGGCCCATTCAACGAAGGGTCCAAAGTTGCTTAGGGCAGTTGAATACATCAGCGCAAGGCATCACCTTGGTGTCCCTGCGTTGCAATTATATCATCAAGACTAGCAAAGTAAATTCGGTGACGAGTAGTAAATCCCAGTATGTTTGAGACTTAGGTTGCTGCAGTAACGATTAATGGTATCCATTGTCGCAAAGCTCTAGGCGTACTCAACTGCTTTCCTCATGCTTTTTGTTGAGGCAAATGCGCCCTTGGCCCTCCTTGTCGCCTCAGTCTATTGCGTGCTCGGCTTGAATGCACGTGTCACTTACCTGGTGGGAAGCGCCCTGCAAACTCGAAGAGTCTGCTTTCTCGTGCTTCCGCAAAGGGCTCGGAGCTAGAGTTGCGTTGCCAACAGTTAATGGGACTCAAGCCCTCTGGTGCAACCTGCCACGGGCACCTCAGCAAGCACTATGCGAAGGATTGCGCTGGCAAATCTGGTTCTCGAAGCGATACAAGCATCTCAAGAGCTGTCGATGTCACATCATATGTTGCGGAAAAGAAGAGCCCCGGCGAAATCGTCAATCTGCATCTCCCATTCTCACGATCTCGCCTGTGTGATGACATGTGTCTGGTGTCTCAGGCAATGTCAACACGTTCAGACCAGAGTCACGCAAAACATTCTTGCACCTGGCGGCATTATGTTCAGAAATCTGGGAGACTCCTGGCCGAACGCACCAAGCTGGAAATGTTTGGCCAACCATCCGCGTCATCACGCTGCAAACCCCCCAAAAGGCAAGCACGTAAAGCCTCTCCTTGGATTAGTCAACTTGTCTAGGATTTGTTGCGGCCAACATGGCAGCTCAGTTCAATCAACACAGAGAAAACAAAATTCGCACACTCGACCCGAGCAAGGAACCTGCACTTCGCTGCCGTTGCACGGGACAACTCCTGTTCTGCCTGGCTCAAACAGTGACAGCGGTGACTTGGGTCTCGGGTGAACGTAAGGACAACAGGGCTATGCTTGCAACTGCACCCTTCGCGGCACAAAGCTAGCGCAAACTTCCAGGCCTTGCACAGTGCGAAACGGCGAAGTCATGCCAGTTGAAACTGAACTGACGTATCAATCCCTGCCGCCCAACAGGTTTGGCGGAAGCTTCTGCGGTAAGGGCACCTTCTGCGAGCATGTTCCTGTATAAGGGCTTCCGCGGGCCTTCTGCGGGCAAGCTGCTTCCGCAAACTGAAGGTCGCTTCGGTTTCCAGGAATGCGCTGGTGGCAGGGCGACGCCAACGCTCTGTCGACTTTCCACATAGAGTGATCGACTTGGGACACAACCGCAGAGGCCACTTTGGGCTTGGTCGGCATCTCCAAACGCCATGGCAAATTCAAATCAAGCGTCTTGCCTGAAACTGTTCATGGATAAGGACTTTTGGCGACGTATCATTGTCATTGTAGTCAACGCTCTAGGCGTCCTAGTAGCTCAAATGCTGGCTTCGCGATTCTTGGCGAATCAATGCGACCCTCGCCTGGGCGCTGATTTTGGGTTTACTGGCCTGGCACGAGCGGAGCAAGCTCGGACAATCTGTTTTACCACAGCCGATGGCTCAGAGTTTGCGTGGACTCCCGGCATCCTTCGTCACCCTAAAAGAATCTTGGGAGCTGTTTGAGGTCCCAACCTTTCTCTGGAGATCCACACCCATTCAATCAAGAGTCAGATATGGTTCGATGTTGCTTAGGGCAGTTCGGGCATCAGCGCAAGCCATCACTTTGGCGTCCGTGGGTTGCAATTGTATTATCAAAACGGGCAAAGTACGTTTTGACTTCTTGGGCAAGCGTCACGTTTTCTGCCTCGGAGCACCAAGTGCCTTTCTACTGATATTTGAGCGAAGCTTCTTGTGCTCAAGGGCGACTTTGTGAGACCAAAAGGAGACTTTCCCTGACGAGGCTTGTCGCGGCACAATGAAAGGACTCTTTTGGTGCGAACCGGGCATTAGGACAGGGCATCATATTGGTGTTTCTGGGTTGCAAATGTATCATCAAGATTGCTTGTTGTCTCGGCTTGAAGCCGAGCGGCTTCTGCAGAAGACCCGTTTTGACTTCTCGGGCAAGCGTCATGTTTTCTGCCTCGGAGCACTATGTGGTTTTTTACTGATATTTGAGCCAAAGCTGCTTGTGTTCAAGGGTGCCTTTGTGCGACCAACAGGCGACTTTCCCTGACCAGGCTTTCCGCAGCACCATGAAAGGACTCTGTTGGCACGAACCGGGCATCAAAACAGGGCATCATTTTGGTGTCCCTGGGTTTCAATTGCATCATCAAGATTGCTTGTTGTCTCGGCTTGAAGCCAAGACGCTTCTGCAGAAGCTTCAGAAGACCCATTTTGACTTCTCGGGCAAGCGTCACGTTTTCTGCCTCGGAGCACTATGTGCCTTTTTACTGATATTTGAGCCAAAACTATTTGTGTTCAAGGGCGAATTTGTGTGACCAAAGGCGACTCTCCCTGACCAGGTTTGCCGCAGCACAATGAAAGGATATGTTTCGCACGAACCGGCGTTTGTTCGCCGAATCGGCAAACATTTATGCCTTTAAAAGTCCAGGGTGCAGCATTGCTCTGGTAGATCTGACTTTCAGAGCGTTCAAATGTATCATCAAGAGTAGCAAAGCACATTCTGTGACGAGTAGTGAATCCCAATATGTTGGAGACTTAGCTAACTTGCTGCGCCGACGATTGATGTTCTCCGTTGTGGCAAAGCTCTAGGCGTCCCAGCAGCTTAAATACTTGCTTCATGCCTTTGTTAAGCAATTGCGCCCTTGGCCTTCCTGGCCGCATGCTCGGCTTGAATGCAAGTGTCACTTTCCTGGTTGGAAGTGCTCTCCAAACTCAAAGAATCAGCTTTACCGCGTTTCTGCTAAAGGCTCGGAGTCAGCTAGCATGGTGTTGCCAGAAAGCATGAGACTCAAGCCTTCTGGGTGAAGCCAAGGGTCCACACCTCAGCAAGCATTGTGCGAAGGATTGCGCTGGCAAATCCGGTTTTCGCCACGTTACA